AGACAGTCTTAACTCACTACTTATTTCCAAATGTATGAGCGACTGTGGAACTTTGAATAATCAAATTATTCAGAATGTAAAACATGTAAAGTGAAACACAAGAATAAATAATTGAAGGAGGCAATACTCATACTCATAAATAATTCTCTATTATTCAATCACCAAAATCAATTACATTTTATTTTGTTACATAGTTTCTGTCACACCCCCAAACCAAGGATGGCGGAAACGTCCGGGGGTGGAGGACTTCATGTATAGTATCATAACAACAATTGTAATAGTAATTGAAGCAAACACAACCAACATATATATAATTGAAAAAGTGACATCATTGTATGAATTACATGTTTACGAATCAATTACAATATGTTGACAAAATATGAAATAGTAGACGCCTTAGCGCCCCATCCTCAAAAGCACTTGGTTACCTGTTTAATGATTTCCTGAGAATACAAGTTGTTTGAAAAAGTGTCAACACAAAGGTTGGTGAGTTCATAAGTTTTTGTTTGGTATTATTAAAAGCCTTTCGTTTGTAAAAGTAGTATTTGTGTTAGAAAATCCAATATTTTCCTTAATGTGTAAATGTAGTCTTAAAACCCAAAGACCGAAATATACAAGTAATTTGTCATATTTATAGTAAAACAATACAAGTTTAAATCGACATAAACTCGTTAAATTTTAATGAAGTTCCCGTAAATTCCAATGTTTATTAATACTTTATGTGAGTTTATTATAACCATACTATGACCAAGGTTGCCTAAAACGACGTTCTTCAGGCGTCGGAAATGTTATGACATTTGTCACCCCAGACCTATCGGTCTAACTGTTGCATGCAGTTTAGGTGTGGGTTTGTCAAACCCAATATAGATCTATACACAACTATCACGCTCTCCCTCAAGGAGACTCTGGTTACAATACAGGACTTAATGGTAATTTGAAGTAAATGTCTCACAAAGTCATTAACGGAATTACGTGTTATGAAAACTTGGTACCGTATGGCCGTACCTTGCTTAATGAAAATATTCTTTGTATAAATGTACCCTTTTTAAATGTATGTGTTATGTAATGTATCATAAACTATACCTATTATAGTTTATCAACCAAGGGTAGTACGTAGTAATGTATGCAAACTATATTCAAAATAGTTTATTAAATGTTTGAATGTATCGGTTGTACTTTGATTATAATCACTTGTTATTCTTTATATTTTATATGTCCAAATCCATTTGTAAACTGATGTGTGTCAAAATATTAAGATAAAATGTCATATATTGCAATAACATATAATCACATAAAGATATACACCTTGCTCAACATGTTACAAGGTGAAATGAAATTGACAGCAACTTTTCGTTGAATACAGTTTCTGTTACTGTTCTTAGAAAATTTATAGAAAAATCATCAAAGCTCCAAATCCAAATCCACAAATTATGAGAGTTTGGAATATGATTCTATTTTGTTCATAAATTTTATCATGATTTTTAGTAATCTCTAACAGAGGTCAAAATGTCCATAATCACAGGCTGGTCCAGGTTTGCCTCTGAAATGATAGGCAGTTTTGTAAAAAATCACCATAAATTGTAGAAACATCATATGGAGATGTGAAAGTAGCCATTTTAAAGCTAAGAGTTTGAACTACTTGCACCTGGAACAGTTTTGAAAACTAAAATATTTAAGTTGACCAAAACAGTCCGTGATCGAAGTTCATCTTTTCTGATGTAATCTGATAGAAAAAATTTAATTGTGTTCTTGATGATTTTACTTGTATTCCCCCCTTAAAACTTAAGAAAAACATGTAAATGTAGGGGTATGAACTCACCTTATGTGGTTTCAGTAGATGAAAGTGAGAGAGAGGAAGTATTCAACCCAAGAACACTAAGAAGATGTCTTGATGATTCAAGAATCTAACACCGAATAAGATGGAATTTGTGTAAGATATCAATGATTTGAGTAGAATGGAGTGTAATAATTATATGAATGATGAAGATACTTACTAATTGAAGAAAGAAATCCCTGAAGAAAGCCTTGAAGTTCTTGAAGTTGAGAGAAAAGATGAGAGAATTTTGGAGAGTGTCCTTTGGTTGCTAAGTGTAGAATGAAAGAACTTTATGGAGAATGAGGAGAGAGGATCAATCCTCCAGCTCTTAGAACGTGGGAAGAGCTGGAGATTGGGTGTAAAGGTCCACTAAGGAGACAAGGGGTAGTGGGAAAGAGTGGCTGATCATAGAGTGAGGTGGTGGTGGTTTGCTTTTGCCATAAATTAAGGAAAAGCAAATATTCCATCAATAATTAGTTCAACCACTAATTCTTTTAATATATTTTTATAAAAACCCTGGAGATTTATATATTTTGGGGCCTTAGTTTAAAAAATAAAGTTTTGGGTGAAAATCCGACGTTAAAATAATGAAAAACGGAGTTAAAACGAAGTCGTAGTCGAAAAACCGGTAAAAAAGGGGCCGTCTGCGAGACCTCTCGCATGGGCTGTCTGAGAGGCTTCTCATGCGAGGCTTCTGTCCTGAGAGGCTTCTAATGAGAGGCTTCGGTCCTGAGAGGCTTCTAATGAGAGGCTTCGGTCCTGAGAGGCTTCTCATGAGAGGCTTCGGTCCTGAGAGGCTTCGGTCCTGAGAGGCTTCTCATGAGAGTTTTCGCTTCTAATAGGAGGGTTTTGGTTCCTTAAGGTTATTTTACCCGTTTTTACCCCGTTTCAAGTGGTTTTTGACCCGGTTAAGGCTCGAGATGACCCAAATGATTACAAAAAGTTAAAGTAACTTTTGAGAGAGATTCGGGAGAGATTCGGGAGAGATTTGGGAGAGATTTCAAATAGAAAGAGATAGAGTGAAAACGATTTAGAGAGGTTTCGTTTGTGATTAATTTGAGTGTCCGGCTTCACAACGCAAGGTTCGTAAACCCCGTTAAACCGTGTTTTAGTGTCGTACACAATCCCGATGATTGTGCAATAGTGTTTTATCGCTTTGGTTCGTTGTTTAGCACTGTTAAGGCTAAGGAAAATCAAACACATGAACTTTCCAAATGATGATTTCTCATTAAAATAGCGAATTGTATAGTGATTACATAACGTAAACCCTAACATACAAGGGTTATTGGAGTTGACCGGTTTGACTTTTTGACTTTGTTTGACTTTGACTTGACCGAAATTTGACGGTTGTCACAGTTTCAAACTATCAATTAACTACTAAAAGTATTATAATCTCTTAAGCCAATGCTCATAGCATGTTGGTTGTGCTTGACCCTGCTCAGAGCCTTTGTGAAAGGATCTGCAGTATTATCTTCTAATGATACTCGTTTTACCTGGAGATGCCCATCTTCAACCCTTTGTTTGATGTAGTGGTACTTTCTGTTGATATGCTTGGACCTCCCATGGTCCTTCAGTTCTTTGGTCAAAGCAACCGAGTCTTCATTATCACAAAAGAGTTCCATTGGCTCTTGAATGGTCGGGACTACTCCGAGGTCTCCGATGAATTTCTTCAACCGAGTCGATTCCTTTGATGCCTCACTCGTTGCGATGTACTCTGATTCATAAGTAGAATCAGCCACCGTTGACTTCTTGGAACTCTTCCAAGTCACCTCTCTACAATTCAACAAGAATACACAACCAAAGTGAGAACAAAAGTTATCTCGATCTGTTTGGAAGCTGGTGTCATTGTAACTTGTTAGGGTGGAAAGTTCATAACCGCTCACTCTCAACGTATCATTGTCGCCAAGAACTTGAAACACGTCTTTTTTTCTTCAAAAATACTTAAGAATGTTCTTAATTACAGTCTAATGGGCTATGCCAGGATTTCCCTGAAAGTGACTAACCATGCTTAAAGCATAAGCCACATCAGTGCGAGTACATGTAATAGCATACATGATCGATCCTATAGCCGAAGTATATGAGACTCGACTCATGTCATCTATCTCTTTATCTGTACAGGGACATTGACTCTAACTCAATTTAACAGTACAATGAATGGGCAAATCCCCTTTCTGGGATTTTTCCATACTGAAACGTTTCAATATTTTATCCAAGTATGTACTCAGGCTACGTTCAATAAGACGTTTCTTTCTATCCCTCAAAATTATTATCCCAAGAATATAGGTCGCTTCCCCTAGATCCTTCATAGCGAAACACTTTCCAAGCCAATATTTTACTTTTTGCAAGGTTGGAACGTCATTTCCTATAAGGAGTATGCCATCAACATACAATACTAGGAAAATTACTATACTCCCATTAGTTTTGACATACACACATGACTCATCCTCACACCTAGAGAATCTGAAATCTTTGACTTTCTCGTGGAAGCAAAGATTCCAGGTGCGAGGTGCTTGTTTCAATCTACACTGCTACAAAATTAACCTTTAATGACACACATTGCGTGTCGTAAAAGCCACAGATGACATGCAAATGCGTGTCAAGGAAAGCCCTGTCATAAAGGGAGATGACACACTTTTGCATGTCGTAAACTTACAACGCACATTTAAGACACACATTGCGTGTCAATGAAGGCTCTGTTATAAAGGAAGACGACACGCATTTGCGTGTCGTAACCTTACGACGCGCGTTTAGGACACGCATTGCATATCATTAAAGTCCCTGTCATAAACGCAGATAACACGCATTTGCGTGTCATAAACTTCAGCAACCATTTACGATATGCATTTACGACGGGCCTTTACGATACTCATTTACGCATAATACAAAAATATGGAAACAAATATATACCAAAACAATCAAATTTATCCAATAACATCATGTCAAAAAATTGTAATACACTGATATTAAGGGGATCTGATTGTACATTGTTATTAAGAGGTTTTCCCTAACTATATAACCTAATACTAAATTGCTATTAAGAAAACCTTCTTGTTTTAGATATCATGGTAAAAAAAATCCTCCGTCTCATTTGTTTGCCACCTGGTGTATGTTTGTTTATCTCAAAAAAAACAAATCATTTGTTTGCCACCTGGTGTATGTTTGTTTATCTCAAAAAAAACAAAAATTAACTTACTGTATTTTTTGCCTCGCTTTGAAGCCTACAACCAAATTCAAACAAAAAAAACTTTTATAATAATATTTAGTCATTGGTGGCGTAATTAATATAACTAGATCAAAAGTTTGTTTACCGAGGATGAGAAAAGTAAATCAAAAGCAATACCCTGAATTCGCATAATAAACTTATAATAAAAAATGCTTCTACCACAAAATAATGAAAAATAATTTAACTAAACTTCAAAAACTTCTTACGATTAAATTATGATAAGCAAATTTATAAATGTGAATACCTTTTTGCACCATTTGGTTCTTCCCATTTAGACAAACGAGTTCCATCAAATGCAGATGTCACCTACAATTTTCAAAATTATATCAATACAAATTCATCAAACAAAATATCTAATGTTGATAAACAATTCATTTAAGAAAATAAGTTACATACAATTCTGTGAACAACGTAGTGGGTTGAGATATAATTTTTCATATCTTTCTTAGTTATCTTTTGAATGATTTCCAAAGGTCCAAGAATACCAAGAGGGGTGTACTGGAAAGCAGTAGCATGAAAATGATCAAAAATTACTTCCTTAGTCTGTAAACCTACCTATAATATATAAAGCTTCAACACATGGCCTAACAGATGGAAGTAGAAAAAAATCGAAATTAGAAGAAGAAAAAGAAAAAGAAAAAGATTCAAAAAACAACTAAATATTTATTAAATTTAAACCTACTTGGCTATGATTGTGAAACAAAACAATATATAAAGCTTCAGAACATGGCCTTAGTTTCTCATACCAAAGAATAAGTAATTAATAATGTTGTTCTAAATGTCTTATGACCTGCCACAACAAGGTTTACAAGTATTTCCGTTCATGATATATTAATATCCATATCTATAAAATCATATTTCCTACTTAACTTGAGCAATAAAAAGTGTTTTGTTTCTCTTACCACTCCCACAAGCTAAAATCAGGTAATAAAGACACCAACACCAACAACATCAACAATCTCATCTCCCCCAAGCAACATCAACATCAACATCAACACTTCCAGACACCACATCAAAAAAAAAAAAATTTCAGTTCCCAAATTTCTACACACCAATACGTATCCAACTCATAAAAAAATTAAAAAACAAAAACAACACCCATAAACATCCAAATCCAAAAGGAACATAAAAGCAAACCGAAATCAGTACTAAACATACTGAGCAAACGCATGGGTTGAAAAAATATTAACCTTAACAATACGTGCACCAACTAGCAAACAAGTTTAATAATTCATCTTTCAAATCTTATTTCAGTAAATCAATCTGTTGCTATATTTTTGGACATAGTAGTCTGTTAAAATGTATAAATTATCAACATGCTGAATAAAATGTCTATACTTCTATTCTTTTAAATGCGATTCTTTTAACCTCCAATTATATATAACTATTTCTCCACATTTATAAGCGTAGATGCTTTTATTATTTAAATACATATTTATATTTTAAAGCCTTTAGTAGTTTTATCAACCCATTAGTTTAAATTACTTTTATATATTTATCAAAATGAAAATATATCTATACTTTTACGTGTTTTACATAAACCACGAACAAATCATATATGTTATTGTCGTGTCTGTGACTCTCTTCTAATCCTATCATAGATATTTTAATACATTTCTAATTAAGATAAATAATCATCATCATATATCCTTAGATTTTAAAATGGCTAATTTGTTAAAACCCAATGACTGATTTCTATGTAAGTAACCACATATAGAATAGTGATTAGTCCATCAGGTTCTTAACAAAAGATCAACTTTAAACAAAAACTTAAAAAAAAAAAACTTTCTAGGGCTATTTTCAATGATAAGGGCATTTACGTCTTTTTACCTTACAGGAGACCTACTCCTACTTTCACTGTCCCTTCCATAATATTTGTCCCTGCTTCTGCTGCGACTTCTCCTCCTGTAGCCCCTGTATTCATCTCTATACCTGGAACTACATTGAGTAAACATCAACTCTAATACAAGGGTAGAATGGTCCCCTCAAAGTTGATTTGAAGCTGGAAACAAACAGAATTGTAATTGGTATCAGATATTACACGAAACAAAAATATGAAATTGCTAAGAACTTGATTCTATGCTAATCCAATCTACATATCATTTAGAGCAATTACACCTACATAATCATACTATCACACTGCTACATTAACAATAAAAAAAACCCTAGCATTTCAGCAGTGTAATATACTCACGAAACCTGTAATTAAGAACAAATATGTACAGTAGCTTTTTATGGAGTTGGGAGTTAAGTCAACTACAGGCACAAATATAGTTATATGTACCGAAATAAAGAAAATTCAAATCAATGTATAATTCTATGACATCAAAAATAAATCTACAGAAACAGGAGAATCGAGTGTACCTCAGACAGAGAGCCTACCTTATCGTGTTAGCTTCTCTGTTCTGTTATTGCTGTTAGGGGCATTATTGTCATTTTCTACTAATTAGTTAGCAGTCGTTATTTGTTAGAGTTATACGTTCCTGTATATATTGTTCTTGTATTCCTTCTTTGTAATCAGTTAATCCATACAATGGAGATTGAAAATCATTTCTTCTCTCTCAAGTTCTTGATTGTTTACATATCGGATTCCGCCATGGATCGACGCAGCTATAGAAGCTTCATACAGGAGAGGCAAATAGACTTGGGGGTTTTAGGTTTTCAAGTAAGCGCTTATGGTGCTTCAGCTGTTCATATGTAGTAGATCCAAGAGTCAAAATCCACGAAGTGAAAGAGGATGAATATCTTTCCTCTTTTTCTTCATTCTTTTATGTAAATCCCAATTTGATTATCTTTTAATGTATTGGGCCAAAATTTATATATATATATATATATATATATATATATATATATATATATATATATATATATATATATATATTGTTTTGGGTAAAAAAGAGGAGAGAAAACGATGGTAAAGAAGAGGTTAGAAAACTAAGTGATAAGATAAAATGGAAAATGATAACCTTCTTCTTAGTTACGGCAAGGAGTGGTGGGCGTAGAGGGGAAACCTATAACACATAAAGAAGCCAATATAAAACCATGTTTCTGGTGGTGGCGGATGCTAGGGTTTGCAGAGAGAAGGGAGGAGAAAATGAAGGTTATCGGCCGGTGGAGAGGAGATAATGAGCGGGTCTTCAAAATTTTTGGGAATTTTGTTTCCCGCCGGTCCCTTATCTATTAATGAGGGAGCGTGCGTATTAAAATTTTATAAAACGATATCTCTACACGACACACATTTAATTTATGCGCTCTCCGTGTTTCATATTTTTTTGTTGGACACTAATTTTAGGGCACGCAAAAATGTGTGTCCTCTATCCTTCATTTTTTTAAAAACGGACATTATTCTCTCTCAAGTTCTGTATTGTTTACATATCGGATTCCGCCATGGATCGACGCAGCTATAGAAGCTTCATACATGAGAGGCAAATAGACTTGGGGGTTTTAGGTTTTCAAATAAGCGCTTATGGTGCTTCAGCTGTTCATATGTAGTAGATCCAAGAGTCAAAATCGACAAAGTCAAAGAGGATGAATATTTTTCCTCTTTTTCTTCATTCTTTTATGTAAATCCCAATTTGATTATCTTTTAATGTATTGGGCCAAAATTTATATATATATTGTTTTGGGTAAAGAAGAGGTTAGAAAACTAAGTGATAAGATAAAATGGAAAATGATAACCTTCTTCTTAGTTACGGCAAGGAGCGGTGGGTGTAGAGGGGAAACCTATAACACATAAAGAAGCCAACATAAAACCATGTTTCTGGTGGTGGCGGATGCTAGGGTTTGCAGAGAGAAGAGAGGAGAAAATGAAGGTTATCGGCCGGTGGAGAGGAGATAATGAGCGGGTCTTCAAAATTTTTGGGGATTTTGTTTCCCGCCGGCACACATTTAATTTATGCGCTCTCCGTGTTTCATATTTTTTTGTTGGACACTAATTTTAGGGCACGCAAAACTGTGTGTCCTCTATCCTTCAATTTTTTAAAAACGGACATTATTTTTAGGACACACAAAAAATACGTATCGTAAATCACTGTGTGTCATTGTTTGCGTGTCATTAAAGGGCAGTTTTCTAGTAGTGGGTGGAAAGGATTTCGCACACACTCTGTCTATCTAGAATAAGGCTATATTTTTTGGTGCACACAAATAAATGACCTCTCCCTCTTCATTTATATAGAGAGGAGAATGTTCTAGAACATAGAATGAATATTTTAACATAACTATCACTCAACATTGTAGACCATTAATGTGCTCCAATAACTACAACTAAACTCAATCCATAGAACCCATACTACTTAATTAGGATATCAGGAAAAATCCATAGAAAATTTGAAGAAATTTTAACCTTCCGAATCAAATCCAGAAGATCACCCAATCAGACACCTCGATAATATTGCAAAGTCAAAACTCCAAAAAATAGGGAATTTGTTCATCTTAAACTGACTCATAAGGGTCTCATAGGGAGTATGACCCATTATGCTGATGGTGTTAGTTAAGACAATAATAGAAGCGGATTGAAAATTATCCTCAACTGTGAGTTTGAGCAACTTAGCAAAAGATTTATTTGTTACGCTCATCTTGTTGCTTCCTTCAACATCAATATTATCTGATGCAGCCTTGATATTGTATTTTGTAGTGGAAAATGCATGATACATCCACACCGCACAAGCCTCTCTTGTTGCGGTCAGCGCATAAGTAAAGATTGAAGGTTTCAATCAAACAATCAACATAACTACATCGGAAGGAAAATCATCATAATTTAAAATATCCGTATAATTTTTTCGTTGAACCTCTAGAATTTGAAAATATTCTGACTTTCCAAATCAAGTCTAAAGATAGCCCATTCAAACGCCTCAATAAGATTCCAAATAAAAAATTTCATATAAATGATTGTTTTTATTAAACTAACAAGAGTCATATAAGGAGTGTGACCTATTGTGTTGAAGGTATTATTTAAGTTCTTATAGAAGGGATTGAAAATTACCCTCAACAGTTAATTTAAACAACTCAGCAAAAATTTCTTCGTTAGAGTTGTTTTGGTCAAAAATTGATAAACTAATTTTGTAACCAAATTGGTAAGTGTGGTGTGATGTTTTGAATTAAATGTGTAAGTTTAAAGTACTTAAAATACGCCGAAGATCTTAGTCGTGCCCAAGATCTTGGGAGGAAAATAATGATATTCACAAAACTATTTGATAAAGTTAATAACTTTCGAAATGCAAATATGCGTATCTGAAGTAACTGAGACAAAAATAATGTTACAGTTATGAAATGAGTGAACTTGGATAATAAATCTTAATATACTAAAAAAGAAAGCAAGATACCACAAAATGTCTTGGTTGTTTTAGTAAGATTGCAACGACTAAATCAAATAAAAAATCAAGTAAGTATGAGAAAATATTGTAATCGATTAAAAAATCCTAAATTAGTAAAAATAAGTGCAATAAAACAAAGATGTACAGAGGAAATCCCTTAATCCCTTTGGATCTCCGACATAAAACCTCGAGAGGTGATGAAATCACCTGCCTTAGAACTTATATAAATAAAAAAATGTGATTACAAGTTCTAGATGATCGTGTTATTAGTGTAAAAGAGCTCAAGTGTCGAGATAAAGAAGGTGAGAGTAAAAGAAATAATGTGCTCCTGAGTGATGATAAGCTAGGCCTTCTGGTATATGTTCATATAACAAACATTCCTACATTCTAAGGATCCTCTTTGATCCATGCTTGACCTGGTTCTATAGGACGACTCAAAAATATTTATGCTTTGACCACATTTATTTTGACCAGGTCTACTCCTTCTTAATCAAACCTTTAAGTCATGCATAAAAAACAAAAAACACGATGGCAAACCTTAGATAGTGACTAAATCCAAGATCTTGGGATTACCCATGATGTTAGTATAACTTAAAGATATTAAAAGTGGTAAGACAGAAAATTATACCCATAACATTTGCCCCCAAAGACCTTGAATTTCAGGATCCAGAGAATTGATGATTTCTTGACTTCGAGAGCAAGCTTGCTTAAATGATGACGTGGGGTGTCCCGTTTATCAAGGATCAACTAGGAATTTTAAATTTTGAATGGATGCGATTTACATGTTTAAATCATCTTATAAACCCAAATAATTTCTCTTTATTCATTCAACTTGCGAAAAGAGTTTATTCTTGGTAATCAATTCTTCCCTATTTCTTATTTTGTCTTATTTTGTTTTACTCTTCTTATTCGATCATGGGGAAAAAATTTGTTCGGACTAGGGCTAGATCGAAGGATACAATTTTCGAGGATTTCATAGGTTTAGGATTGTCAATAAAGATATCTGTAACGACCCAATTTTTACAAAGAAATTTTTCATTTTTAATTAATCGACCATATTTCATAAAACATGAAGATCCCAATAATTGTTTTCAAAATCATCAACATTACATCATTATTATTTTCAAAACATCAGAGTGTCCCCCAAACTATATCGGAAAAGAGGGATAGAGTGCACGCCGCATCATCACGCCTTGCCTTTGCCCTTGAACTCTAAGGTACCTGAAACAAATTCCACAAACGGTAAGCTAAAAGCTTAGTGAGTCCCCCAGAGCATACCCCACACAAACCACATATCACATTAGCTATAAAGCTACCTCTACCACATATCACATGTCAATTAGCCATAAAGCTATCTCTACCGTTAGCCACAAAGGCTATTTCTACCATCAGCCATAAAGGCTGTCTCTACCATTAGGCCTAAGGCCATCTCTACCATTAGCCAAAAAGGCTATCTCTACCACATATCATGCACACATACATATCACACCTCTACGTAACAAGTAAACCAACTATCACAAGATGGGCCAGCCTTGGTGCCTTAGACCCATTGGTATGGTGAGAAAACTCACCTCTCAAAGGCTGAACTGGCAAATTGAATTCCGGTATGCCC